GCCTAGGCCTATTTGTAAATTGTAATCTAAACAATAAATCAAAGTTGAAGAATTATTGCATTGAGAGAAATTTTTGTACAACTTATGCCTAATCATTCATAATCAAGAAGCTAGGCCTTGTAAGTAAAATAGCAGCATTCTCCACACTTCTGTTTATAATTATTAGTGAGTATCATTATTACTGTATTATTATTATTTATTATTATTATTATTATTATTATTATTATTATTATTATTATTATTATTATTATTTATTAATATTTATTATTCATTATTTACTATTCATTGAAATTTTGATTTGTAATTTAATTGTAAATCATTTAAACGTTTTGATTTAAAATATGTATTAAAACAATCAATATATTATAATACAATTAGGCCTATATCTTTAAAATATATTTTTATCTTTAAAATCTTTAGTTGCACAATTAATTGATTTGTAAAGCACAATTGGGCATGTTTGCATAGCATAGGACTCCTTGGACAAGTTTTCGCTTTTATTGGAGGATTCAATTTTTATTTTTAATTATAATTTAAGCTACCACTGATACTACTAGTCTTCATGTAGCTTTCTGGAAATTTTATATAATTTAACAGCAAAGCGTAACATTGCATCTTTTTATAAATCATTGCTGCTTGAAAATTCTTCATTTTTTTTTATTATCATCGTAATTAAGCTGATCGGCCGAAGGTGTTCGGCCGAAGAAGTACCGAAATTTAGGCCTGTCTAGGCCTAGTAGTAGTAGGTGGATATATATTACGGCGAAGTGGGGCGGGCGGTACGTACATGCCTTATAATTTACTACGTGGATAGCGAGATTTTTCGATCGCCATACAAAGTTAAAATAAAATCCCAAATCCTCCTCCTTTTTGGGATTTAAGGAAATTAATACATTTTTGTTTCTTTGTTGGATCGATTGCAGCAACCCCAAAACCAACATAACGGTATTTCACATTATATAGCATTAATCATCTATAATAACTGCTAACTTCCTACCCTATCGCGTTGTTTTGTTTTGGTGACAACATGGCCGGTGTAAGTCACGTGATTGAAACCGAGTTGGCCAAACTCTCTCTATCTACGGCTCTGGCAGAGCAGATTGAACAGCGCCCTCTTGACGCACGAGTACATCAAATATCAATCAAAAAAACTTTGATAATTTTTTTTTCATATCTATTCTTTTTTAAATATTTCAAAAACAATGTTTTAACTTTGGTTTGGATGCTATATTATTGCTGTATTTGCAATATGATGTTATAATTGTTAGATGTTAAGCATGGACCTGTTTTAACAGCTGTAATTGTAAATAGAATAATTGTTTCGTCGGCTAGTGTAAGGCCAAGTAACAAAAAATACTTGTTTCCCGTCCGGGGTATTTCAAAAAGTTGGTGAGGGAGGCACTTGTTATTTGTTATTTGTTATTTTTGTACGCGTGTCAACAAATACTTAAATACGCGTCCTGTCTTGATAGTAGTGCATACAGTCACACACATAAAGAGTCGTACAGTAAAGCATCCAGAGGACATGACAACAAATATAAAACACAAGGTACAGTATGAAATTCATTAATTTTTTTTATTGAAAAAAAAATCAATAAAAAAAAAAAAAAATCAAAAATACCCTATATATTGTATAGTAACTGTTAATCTGATTTGCTTGTGTTTTCTGTTTTCAGGCATTTTTGGTTTTAGGCAAGATATCACATCACAAGACAAGTATATTATTTAAATTAATCATTGGATCATAAGATATAACCAGTACCTACAGATTTAGAAAGATTAACGCCAGTATTTAGCCATGTTATATAAGCCAATAATTGTTTACATTATAATTAATAATAAT